CACCGACGCCGAAACATAAAACAAACTGTCACCACACATGAATTTATGGCAGCCGCGTCATCAAATCTAAACTGCATTTTTTGCAAAATCATGACTCAGAGTCCTGTTTATGCTTCACAATTAATGAGAAGAGAGATATTTTGAAGAACCAAGTGCGGTGTTTTCTTTGTCTTCCCCTAAGCACAAAATTTCACAATGCCGGCAACGTCAAATTAAAGTTTGTAAAATTTGCAAAGGTAAACATTCGGAAGTCATATGTTTTAAATCCAGTTTGATGGTTAAAAATACACCAAGTGATAAAAAGGATAGTATATCAGTTTTGAGAAATGATACACAAACTAAAGAACAGAAAGAAGAAATTGTTTCGGCCGTTTCACATAGTGTAAATAACACAATTCTTTTACAGACTTGCATGATAAAAGCTAAAACAGCTAAGGAAAAGGTGTTTGCCAGACTTTTCTTGGATAGTGGAAGTATGAAAAGTTTTTGTGCTCGCAAGTTAGCTGACAGATTAAACCTCGAAGTCATAAGAAAAGAAAAATTGTCTGTCTACAGTTTTGGGAATATTTCACCCATCCAAAAAAATTATGACATAGTTAAATTAACTTTAGAACATAGAAGTTCTCCTGATTCTAGAATAGAAGTTAAATTATTAGTAACTGATCATATATCAGGTACAAATATTCCTCCTCCTAAATCAGAAGAAATTAAGCAGAACAGACAATTAAAAAATTTGATGCTCGCAGATTCCCAATTGTAAAAAACCCATTGCCATTCTTATTGGAGCAGATTATTATTACAACATAGTAATGGGACACGTTAAATACTTAAGCAAAAATCTCGTTGCAGTGGAAACTATTTTCGGCTGGTGCCTACATGGATCAAAAGGTGATGATGATGTCTCTTTACCTTTCCTGTTGATCCCGTTGGGGCCATTAATGAGCGGAATATTGGTGTTGCATCTCTTAAATTTAGAAAGCACAGATCGAGTTATCACCCACTGAAAGCGATTCTAAATGTCTGGCCCAGTCGAGTTGTGCATGTTTTTTTAATAGAGTCCTGACTTGTTGATTTAGCTGGTTCAGTAAGGTTTTATCAGATGGACATCTGAATTTTTGCCACTGTTTGCATGCGTGGTTCCTTCTTCTGATTAGTTCTCTTATGTTACTGTTTTTATACCTCTTATTCTCTCTTGCAATTTTGCTGCTTTTGAGTAATGCGTCAAGAAGCTCTTCAGTGAATTCTTCTGTAAGGGCATCTAACTCATCTTTCATTTGTACTGTGTGTGTTGGGTACTGAATGTTGTTTAGAGCTTTGGCATAACCTGCCCAGTTCGTAATAAGGGCTCTTTTGTGTGGTGTACTGTAGGTATTGGTATTGACTTCATTATTACAGGATTGTGATCAGATGACATTTCAGTCATGCTTTCTATATAACTCGGCGAGTTAATATTTTTTTAAATGAAAAAGTCAATATCAGATGGTCTACCACTCCCACAGTGTGTTGTTTTTTTCTGGAAATGCTAGGTTAATATTGGCCGCTTGGGCAAAGTGACTAATAATACGTAAGTGTTGATTAATATCACAGCAATTCCACTCGCTGTGGTGTGCATTGAAATCTCCACCTATAATGACTCGATTGTTAATATTTAATAGTGTTTGCAAATCCGTCTTGACAGGATTTGCAGGTGTGTGTATAGGAAAATAGGTGGAGATAACGGTGATTGGTCGTGATGTGTTTGGAGTGAGTGTAATAGCTAGAGCTTCAATTGCTAAAAGCTGTGGTAATGGAGTGACATAATGAGAAGTGGAGCGCTTAATTAAAATAAGTAGTCCACCTCTTGCATTACCTCTAGGTGCATATCTGCCTACAGTTGATCTGTCCCATCTGTGTGTGAACATAATTGCAGGTTCTAAAAAAATTATGAGGGCCAAGCATGTGTTCTTGTAGGAGTAGAATATCGGGGGCAAATTCGTGTAAAAACTCGAGCTCGTAGGCTTTCGGGAGCAATCCAGTTGCATTCCATGTAATTATAGTTAAAGGCATACTTTGATTACACTGATACATTTTGAATTTCATTAACTATTTCAAAAAAATAAGAACATTTTATCAACAGGATCTGTTAATTCTCTCAACTTAGGCATGAAAGTTTTAAATACATTATTCATTATCTTTATGTTTTGAAGTCCAAAGATATTGTTAAATTCTGCTACATTTTTAACAAAATTTACAAATTCTGAACATTGATTTTTCTCCTGCGGAGAACTGGAATCATTATTTTCAGAAGAGATTTGCTTAGTATTTTTTACATTAGAAACATTTAAATTTTTCAGAGCATTACTAATATAAGTAACATTAAATTGCACATTATTCTTAACTGATTGGTTTTGTGCAGCAGTAGCCGAGCTGGGGGATTGCACATTAGATTTATCGTTAAAATTAGGAATTTGATTTTTCGTCATAGCTGCATAAAAGATTCCATTTTTTACAGAATTATCTTTTTTCTGTTGGTTACTCTTATTTTTTAGGAAATTTCCCGCATCTACAATACGACGCAACATGATTTTTTTTACAGTTGCTGCATTTTGTTCCCCAATGCATCCCTTAGTTGGACAATCCATAGTCTTATGTTCTAATGAACATTTCACACATCTAGGCAAGAAGCAGTTCTCCGAAGAATGGTGCCACTTTTAGCAATTATAGCACTGTGGCACCTGATTCTTGGAGACGTACTTCTCCACCATCACAACAAACAGTAACAGATCAGTAACATAAAAGATTTGGTCTGACATTTCATTTTTCATTACTTGAACAAGAAATAATGGCATAGGGGCACATGTTCTCCATCTAGTCAATTGGGTAACTTTGCTTATGGAGAAGCCTCTGGCTGTTAGTGCATTTGCTATATCATCTGTTTTCGTAGTGTTGCATAATCCTCTAAAAACTACTTTAATGGGTCGAGCATAGTTTGCATTTGTAATATAATGTTCAATCTTTTTTCTTGAAATAATGAACTAAGAATTCTGTGATCCTCAGCTGTCCTTGGTAGAATTTTTAGCAGCTCACCATTAACTTTTCCGAGAAATTTTGCCTCAGTCATTAAAGCCAATTTTTTTTAGAAATTCCTCGTGTTTAAATTTGCCTGGGTTTACAATTATAGGTGGGACAGTCTGAGATTGGATATTAGTCGGCTGCTGCTGCACTGCCCGTTGGGGGTAGCATTACTAGAAGTTTCAGCATTATCATCATTTTTATCATTTAACACGTTAAATTTATTACTACATTCAACATTCAAAGGTACTTTTTCTAATTTTTGAAGTTCAGCAGTTTTAGTCGATAATTTGAATTTATCATCATCTACTTTCTTAGAATTACTATTAATTTTACATTTTACCTTAGCATCACTATTTTTTGTCTTAAGAGTAAGAACATTTTGGGGGCCAATGCCTGAATTACAAGGAAGATTACACTTACCTTTTATATCTGCTGCCTGGGCCTGGAGCGTATGTAGAGCTTTAAAGAAGATGTTCCGTAGTCGTGTCCGCATCCGTGACCGGTCGTAATTTCTGGCACTCAGTAATAGTAGTCTTAATTGCGGCGATCTTGACTTCTAAATCGTTGAGAAGATTAATCCAATAGTCAGCATCATTTGTATCCAAAATATCTGCGGGTGGTAGGCCAACACAGCTTTCCCTGATAGAAGGCGACTCTGGAGTGGCGCTAACATCCATCGAGAGATTCACATCGTCGTTCGATTCACTCGTCGTAGTCGGAGCATTCATGATGAGCAACCTACACTCGTGAGGATCAAGGACACAATTCATTTCTATGGAACTGAATTAGTTTAAAAGAATGAAGTTCTGCCAAAATTTAAGTAGTAGTTGTTCTGCTTTGGGCTATAATTCTTTTTAGCACTTCAGGATCTTTTTATATTTGCAGTTACTTTGACTATATGATGTCCTTTGGTTTTGTAAGCATACAAACGTGCTGGGTACTGTAGCCCTTTATATATTGAAAAAAAAAAAAAAAAATCTGTCTTCACAGCTGGTACACCAACTAAATAAGCACCAATAATTTGCCCTCTTTTTTTCTCTGATATAACTCTAATCTACGTTCTATTACTTTCAATATATGAAATCAATACCTTTAATGCCACTGGAAATTCAAACACCATGCAGTGCAGCTGTTGCTAATATTGTAGCGAAAATTGCTCTTTTCAACAGAATATTTCAATCTGGAATGTTCCAGCATGTTCACCAGCTGTATATAAGTAGTTCTTCGTTCAGTTTGAGTTAATAAAAAGTCTTGAGTTTAGACTTGCGTACTGGCCTGATCATTTGTACGATCCCTTCAACTATGCGACAATATTTTAAAGAAATCATAAAGTTCCAAATCATAAGCAGGCTTGAAATTTGAAGTACTATGTTGGCTAAGTATTTCAATTTTGTTGCCCAACCTCTGTTTACATAACATTTTTTTAAATGAATCTTTCTCTCTCTTTCAAAAACAAAACAAAAATATGCCTGGGAGATAAAATAAGAAAATCATCACATCCCATTGAAATTACTAAAACAGTACGAGACAATACACAGAAGATGTCACAAACTCACATAAGATTACATCTAAAGTTGTTATAACTTATTACAAGCCAAACCTTGTTACACACCATCAAATGTTATAAAAAGGAATGTTATAAGCTTGTTTTTTTTTTAAAAAAGAACATACATGAATAGTTTAGGATTTCAGTAGGAACAGATACTGCAGCACCATCACTGTAAATATAATAACACTTATATAAACAATGTGATTTCTGGACTTTGTTTTTAAATGTGACAAAAAGAATATAAACTGAAATTTTATTGTATAAGTAACTGCCCTTTACATTTAGTTAAGTATTCAAAAATATACTTTATTTTTAGATAACGGAGTAAGATACTGAATATGGAAACAGAATAAAATTTAAAGAAATTACATGCACATTGTATATTAATATATTTTACCTGTAGAATATAATCCCTTGCATCTAGTACTGACAGAAATCCAGCATTATTCCCATATTCAATGATAACCTAAAATTAATCACATTTTAATAGATATCTGGAATAAAATATCACACTTGTGAGTACATAGTAAGTTTAATAGAAAGATTAAAAATCTCAGTTTTTAGATGTATTAATTTTTGTTGAAACAGCATAATCTATTTCAGTATATTTTATGAATACTTTTTAGTTCTTTAAAAAAAAAAAAAAAAAAAAAAAAAAAAAAAAAAAAAAAAACCTGCCAAAGCATCATTATTTGAATTAAACCAAGCAATAGAATTTGATGATATAATGATACCTAAATTTATTTCCTATTAACAAAACATTATTTTTCTCAGTAAGAAATGAGGGCGCAATAACACTGCAATTTAAAATTAAAAATTTGAAGATAAATAATATCATTGAAAATTTTTAATACAGTATTAAGCATATACTAATCTTCCAATTTAGATGACACATGGGGAAAAACACATTATAATATTAGTTTCAGTTTGAAATAAATATGATACACATACATAATAGAAACAAATTAAACATGCATGTTTAAAAACAATGAATAGAATATATTACAAAAATCAGCCACAAAGATTGAGGTGCAAAAATACAGTGTTTTTTTAGGTGTTGTAAGACAATACATAAAAACAAAATACTGAGGCAATAGAGAAGCAGTTCATGCAGAAAACATTCTTTTAATTTTAACACACAAAATAGTTTCTGAAATAAATATTTATAGAAATATATAAATTTTCAAATTGCAACATAGAGAGACATATAATAAATACAATTTTTATTTCATTATTTAGATTTCCTGACTTCTGTAAACTATTATAAAGCATATTTACTTTAAAATTAATAATTTTCATGTAACTATATTATTCTTCATTACAATCAACTTTTATTAAAAAAATTACTATTCAAAAGGGAAGAGACTTACCAGAAAATCATTAGTTTTTCGCCATAGCGTATCTATTATTTCCATTCTATCTTTCAGAGAAGGCAAATCCATTAATGAAAAGGCACTTACAACTAAATCATATTTTATCTACATAAATAAAAATAACAATCAAATTACTATAATGGCATTTTGGAATAATATAATCATTCCAAAATAATATTTTATAAAATCTAGTTTTCATGACTATTTTGAAGACCAGAAGAATCTTTTATAGAATGGAAAAACTTAAATACTTTTTGAAAATCTCACCCTTTATCTTTAATGACAAAAGACTACATATAGGATTTGAGAAGACTTGTAAAAAAATTCAAAAACAGATTAGAAGAAATTTTTCTATTATTGATATTACTTAAATTATCCCTTAACGATGAGTGTATCATATATGTATCAGCAGTTAATCCTTTTACACAATTACATGCCGCTTCGTGTAACTCACCGTGGAGACGGTGTGTTGTTGCAGTAGTGTAATCTCGCAGGACGAGTATTTTGCGTCACTAAGCTTAACTTTAAAAAAATTCATTAAAAATATTTTTTTATCAACTGTTTTGATTTTTTCAGTAATGGTATCTAACAGTAATATAATCATAAATGCAGAGTATCAATAGATTCTCAAAAAATTAATTAAAATCTAAATTTAAAATAAAATACTTGACTCGTCTTCAAGAAATGTTGTAAAATACTTACTTAAATCTATACCCAAACATGCATTAAAAATAATACAATATATGTCCAAATATTATAGCATAAATGATTCAGAAAGGAGACAATGTGTGACAATCTAGTTGCTATCATTTCATTTGTTAGGAAATACATTTTCTAGTCGAATTTTTTAATTCCATCCCAGCAGAATAATTAAGTCTCGCAATCCCCTCATTTTAGGCACATCTACAGGAGTATCTCGATTTTGGATGAAGTCGGATATTCACTGAATCTTTTGTTCATAGAAATTATTAGGTTCTTTAACTAATATTTTCGTTAGATTATTGAAAATAAATGGTGAAAAAATTAATTTCATTCACATAACTTTGACTTAAGTTTACTGCTGCAATTCCCATAAATTTATAAGGCTTCAATTACTTAAGAGATCAAGTTCCTGATGGAGTAGCCGCTGTTCTGCTGGATTGTGAGGTGAAAGCAAAACAAACTCCCAGTTTAGTCTCTGAGAAAATTCCGGTATCAAAACAGCTATTCTCGTTGATCTAGAGTTTTCAGTGCGAAAATAGTCACTCCTGTGCTTTACAGTTCGAATATACTCTACTTCCATTAAAAACTTCTTTCTCTTAGACATCGCAGTCTTAGTTTAACTCTCTTACCTGGTGCAAAAAACTTATGTCTGCTATCTAAAGAAGATGCAAAGTGAATACAAATCAGAGTTCCTAAAACCGCAATACTTCTCAATCTTCCCATGGAGGGGGGAGAAACAGAAAACAAAAATGAAGCATTGGATACTTTTCAATGTTTATATCACATAAAGCCAACTGAGAGTCAGCTGGGTTTTGTTTACTTTATATCATCTCCTCGTACATCTAAACAAATCATCAAAATCAGAAAGTAGTTCACAGACACAAGGACAACAATGTATATGTTCAAATAAACTAACTTTAGTGGACATGGAGTGTCATCTAGTGATTTTTAATAATGTGTATGTTTGAAAGTGCACATATGTCATATACCTCTGGCAGATCAATGCAAGCAGCGATGCACCGGTGCATCCGACTGCTGCTAGTGATATTTGGGACTGATGCACATATGACACACCCATCTGCCGAGGGTTTTTATTCAGCATCATGCAGTCACGAAGGGATTAGGAATCATACAATAACATCATAATACACACTGCAAAAATATTTGAACTAGCACTATTGAAAAATATGTTAATACAGCTGCTGAATTTGGGGGAAAAAATGATGAACTGCCACAAATACACTCATGTTCATAAATTAAGGATAATTCAGAGTCCCGCGGAAATCGAACTCTAAAATAAATATATCACCTCTAAAATCACTACACTCATCTTCAAGAATCATATGCAAATTTCAGGAAGTAACAAGATGACACCGATGGTACGTCACAATGACGAGAGTGTAAGAGAGTGATATGTAAGGAATACAGGCAAAGAAGTAAAATTGTTAGCAGGCGCTTTATAAGCATTTCAGTGTAATAACCAAACAGTTATAACACAAAGGACGCATTTGGATGATTTTTTACGTGGTATAATTATCGGCCGTCTGGAATGTGGGCGTACCCAACTGGAAGTATCAGACGAACTTGGAATTGCCCAGAGTGTCATCTCCAGGCTTTCGCAACGATTCCAAGATGATGGTAATGTGAGTAGACGTTACAGCACAGGTCGCCCCAGAGTTACAACGCCGAATGAGGACCGGTATTTGGCAGTTACTGCCAAAAGAAACAGGCGGAGCACAGCCTCAGACCTGTTTCATAGAGCTCCGGACTTTCATACGTAGAGCTCCAGGCACCCGATACCAGAAGAAAACATCATTGAACGACACTGTTACGGTGGTGCAGGAGTGCTCGTTTGGGGTGCAATTATTCTGGGTTCCAGAACGGACCTGCATGTTCAAATTGGAACCATGACAAGCCAAATCTATCTGGACGTCATTCTGGAACAACATGTACGTTTGTTTCGGGGTGCCATGGGTACGCAATTTGTGCTTATGGATGACAACGCCCATCCTCACCGTGCTAACATCGTAAGCGAATGCCTTCAATCGGAGGATATCACCCGTATGGACTGGCCAGCAGTCTCACCGAACTTGAATCCAGTAGAGCACATATGGGACATGCTGGGCCGACGAGTTGCAGCCCGTCAACCTCCTCCTACATGTCTACCGGAACTTCGGAGAGCATTGCTTTTTGAGTGGTGTAATATCCCCCAAGATCAGATCGATAATTTGATATTCAGCCTAGGCGTTGTATGGACTGTATTACATCGTCTGGGAGACATACAATGTATTAAAAATCATATCAACCATGTAATATTGCTTTTTTGTAAATAGGTTTTTTTTTTTTGTAATTTGCTCCAGGGAGAAAAAATCGCTAATTTTTTTAATAATATCAAACATATAGCATCTTTTTTTGCTCTTTACCTTTTGTTTAATAAATAAGTCAAATTTGTTTTGCTTCAACTCTTCCTTTGCCTGATTTTGCATTATCCTTAATTTATGGACATGAATGTAGTTTCAGCTTTGGTACGGGGAAAAATAGCGTATTCATTAAAAAAAAAAAAAAAAGCACTAAAAGCAAAAAATAAGCACTAAAAACAAAAAAATAAAGTCTCTAAAGAAAAAGTAAGCACCTATAAGGGCCTTTATATTTTATTTTCAAATATAAGGACTTATAAGCACTTATAAGGACCGCTATGAACCCTGTTAATAATTCATTAAGCAAATAGCCCATTTAAAATAAAACCTCATATTTTGGTTGCAAACTCAATAATTACTGCCATACAAATAAATTTTTATTACTTTGTAAATCAGAATGCAAAATTTAAACTAATCAAAATGTAGGAATATATGTATATGGGTTGATCAACTGAAATCCTCTTGCAAATAATATATATAAAACTTATTTACCAGGTGCAAGTTAGTGACTTTTTCTAAAAGATAAATTATCAATATTTTATCATATGTAATCAAACATTATCAGCAGATCAAAAGAAAACACACTTTAGTAATTTAAAACACACATTTAAATTATTAAATAAGATTATGCAATACATTATAAAAAATTACAGACTTATCTTTTTCAAGAAATCTTTCTTTTTTGGGGGGGGGAGGGTGTTGTTCTCCCCATACACCCAATAATCTGTATTTCTAAAAATAATAAAAAAAAAAAATCATACAATTCCACAAATTCAGCATTCCAGACTTGTCTTTTTTTTTTTTTTTTGTGTGTGTGTGTGTGTGTGCGTGCGTGCATGTGCTTGTATGTGTGTTGTTGTTCTTTCCATGCATACACACACACACCTTACAGCACCAGTATTGTGCACGTAGCCTTGGCATTGTGCGCTAGTCATTATCATTATGGTCCAAGACCATGGCTAGCACACATCATGATAATGAAACTTCAACATCCATCTCCAAATATCATAACAGAATACATTCTAATGTAATGAAAATAGAAAGAGGGATTCTATTTTCACCATTTAAAAACAACAAACAGCAAACGAAAACACAGAACACATGAAGAGAATAATAATGAATTGGTGAAATAACTATTACATCATGAAGGCATGCTAAGAAGGCAGGAGAAATATACCTTATAAATACAATAAATCAGAAAATTTTAAAAAATACTTAATTCATTAAATATCTATAAGCAAGGGACTTACTGTTTCAGAAGCTGGTAAAAATTGACGATGGTATACTGTTTTTATAAGCATTTCTTCTGTTTCTGAATCTAAAAAATATATAATCACTATTCAGGTGAATTAAATTCAAAGTAAAGACTAAGGTATTTTCTGATTATTTGTACCCCCATCAAAAAGGTATGAAAAAAATTGTTGGCAACCTGCCATGTCTTCAAAAGTATTAATGTGGCAACCCATGTATAAGCATAGTACACACATTTGAATATATGTATATTTACACCTTTGAAATTCATTTAACATATTTCTAGTTAGTATTTCTTTTTTTGCATAGAGTATACTCATTTCTGTCATAATGTATAATAATAGAACTACACAGTTAGCTTTCTTTTATTTTCATTATGTTGAAACATATACTGAAGTTTGCCTTTTGCTGCTCTTGGGCAATCATGATTATGGCCAGTGTGAAATCTGGGTTTTGAAGTGAGGCTGAGTTTGTGCAATTCTCTGTTTCTTTTAGCTTAAATGAATAGCTGTGTACATGGGAAGCACATTCTTTCATAAAAAAGATAAAAAAGTAATGGCAATGGATACATCATTGAAATAAATGTGAAGATACCAAATCAAATGTTCTACTCAAAAATCATCAACAAGAAATGCTTTCCAAAGTTGTTAACAAAATTGCAACTTTTCAAAGGGGATGCAGATAATTAGAAAGTACCAAAACTAACAAAGGTTTATTGTTAATATCAAAATATAGATTTCTTACCTATCAAGAGTTGTTGAGATATGTCATTCATATCTGATGATGCATCTACACAAAAGTATTCTTTAAGAGAATTGCCCCAGACAGCATGTGCAGCCCTAAAAATGTTCAAGAAATCATTTTTGCAAGAAAATGAAGGCTGATTCTTTAACTATATTAAAACAGCTTGAATAAAACCTTTATATTAATTTTTCAGATTAATACAGAGTTGCAATAACTGCATTTTCATTATACTTTTTATTTTATTCTGTAATTTTTTAATGTACAAACAAAGTGAACATAAATTAGAAGTTAAAAAAAAAGAAAGATTTTATTTTTACACGTTAAAAAAAAGATACTGACATGCCATAAAATGTACAATTAGTGTTTCTTAATGATTATTAAAGATGGTCCTAACTGCAAACAGAAAACCATATTAGTGTCAGATATTTGAGAAAAGATACCATAACCTAGAGCAAACTTCAGGTGTTATGGTTAATGTAATGTAAAAGAATAACATTCCAAATAAAAGTAACAGTTTTAGTTTAGTAATTACACACTATCACATCAGACAGAAACAGATACCAATGAACGTTTCAAGAACTTACTCATAGCAAACAGGAAATAATAGCAAATAATGAAAGGAAATAGAAAAATAATGAAAACAAACAAAACAAGTCGTTCTACTGAAGGACAACAAAAAGAAGAAAATTAACAGTTGATAAATTCCTTAGATCCTCAATAATTCATGCCAGGAATTAAGTCTTTAAGGAATTAAGTCTTAAGGAATAAATTGCATATTTTATTGATAAGACAAAAATTAACATACAAGTTAAATTATCTGAAATATGGACAATTGATCAAGCAATTAATTTTTTTTCATTCTCCATAAGAAATAATTTAGTTGTTATTTTTTTTCTTTAATACAGGCCATTACAAAATTACATATAGTTTAATTTAATCTCTTGTGCTATTTTTCTCCTATCAAGAAAATGTGCAGTTCAGTTCTTAAAAACTAGACTCCTGGTATCAAGTTCTGGATATAGCATCCCTTGTTAGTATTGCTTGAACTGCATCAATCAAACCAACTAAGCTTTAAAATTTCAGTATAAAGAACATGGAAGCTTGTGTTATAAAAAATTAAATTAAAAAAAGGAACAAATAACTCATCCGTTATACAACATACAAGATGCCACATAAAAATTTACACAAATCAATCCCCCATAAACTTCTTAATATTATATATTAAATTTTTAAAAAAAGGTACTTGGGAACTTTTGTTCACAGGAAATCCAGTAAACTTCAGGAAAAGACAGTATCAGATTCTAATTTGCCGCAAAACAGTAGCTCACAAAATAGCAGAGAACAGTCAATAAAGTGTTTAGCAAAGTGAAATTTATATATATATATATACACTGGTGTGCAAAAATTAAGGACGAGGCGGTTTTTTCAATATAACTTTGTACAAAAGCTTTCCAAAACAACACATTTAATACCGTAAGATCCCCAATACGTAAGGACATGAGTAATGTAAGCAACACTTACTAAAAGAGAAATCAGAGAGATAAAAAGAAGCTTTATTGAAAAAGTAGCATGGAGCACAATGCGACTGAAGGCCGAAACATCCCTGTGATGGGTGTCCAGCAAGATACATCCGGTCTTTAATAGGGGATATGATCTCCCCTGACTGCTAGGCAGGTTTCACAGCGTCTGCCCATGCTGAGAATGAAGGTGTCAATGAGTTGTTGAGGCATTGCTGCCCATTCGTCTTGCAGCACCAATGGAAGCTCCGGAATCGTTACTGGTGGTAAGGTTCGAACTGCCAAGCGTCTGCCTAGAAAATCCTATACATGCTCGATGGGATTGAGATCCGGAGATCGTGCCACCCAATCCATATGTTCAATATCCTCACTCTCTAAGAGCTGTTCGGCAGCTACTGTGCAATGACATGGTGCATTGTCGTCCATGAAAAGGAACTGCGGACCCATAGCGCCTCTAAAAAGATGCACATATGGAAGAAGAATCTCATTACAATAACGGGTACTGTTGACTGAACCTGCGTCGAAGATGTGAAGGTCTGTACGACTACCAAGCATGATGCCTCCCCAAACGAGAACACCGCCACCTCCATACCTGTCCCTTTGAATGATGTTCGAGGGATGATTGCAGCTTTGCTCTCTCCAGATGAGTATGCGATGAGGATCGCTACTCAGACTGAATCTGCTCTCATCTGTAAAGAGTACTCGTCCCCATTCATTGTCTCTCCAATTTCGGTGTTCCCGGCACCACAGAGAACGCCTTCTCCGATGGCCAGGCATTAGAGGTACACACCGTACAGGGCGTCGTGCAAACAGAACAGCACCGTGCAGTCTTCTGGCCAAGGTAAAACGTGATATCGGTCGTCCAGTCGCCTGTGTCGTGTGTCTAGCGATTTCTCGCGCTGTCTGCCGCCTGTTTCTTCCCGCCTGTAAAGCAATATACCGTTCATCTGCGGGTGTGGTTCCTCGTGGACGACCACTACTAAACCCCCAGGATGGCTGTTCCTGTAGTTTGAAATTGTCTCCAAAGTCGTGAAACGATGCTGTGAGCAATTCCGAACTCTGCAGCCACACTTGTCACACTGCAGCCTTTCTCCAACTTCCCAATGATTCGACCTCGGTTAAAAGCATCCAGATATTGTCTAACAGATTGATTATTCGCCATTTCTTGCTGAGGCAGCAACTCGGTGTGATTTTAACTGCTATACGGCATGCAATCTCTTTGCCAGAAATACTGATCTTACATTGACAACATGCTTTATACTACTCAGACACTCCCCCATTACGTCTACCTGCATATCTGTGCATGTGCTACCGTACATCACCTTACTTAATCTCCTGATTGGTCTTTCTGTCCGCTCTGCCTCTTCGTTCAGCTGATATGCTAATTTTTTGACTTCATCCTTAATTTTTGCACACCAGTGTATATTGATAAAACAAGGAATTTTGTGGCAAACATTTTCATACATACTTTGGTACAAGATCATCTTCTGTAAACAGACCATTCACAACCATAAAAGGTTCACTTGCAAAAGTCAAAACAGTGGACACACTGAACATATCTGCACTAAACTCACTTTCCATGCTCCAGCAGTTAATAGTTGAAATATTTTGTTAATAAATAAATGTGTAATAAACAAAACAAAAGTATAAAATTTTGTGTACCACCCTGCAGTGGTCTGCAAACCATAAATTCAGCTTCGCTTCTGCCAACTACAGTAAAACAGCTTCTTCCTCAGTTGGTGAACTTAATTTCCTTAAGGTTTCCTACATCATAAATTTATTTCTTAATTATTCTATGACTTAAATTTGAACCAACATTTCTAACCAATTTACAAACAGATAAATTTTTAATCTGATTTCATATGTTATCCTTAGATGAAATTACCTCTCGCTTCCCCACAATACTTTCCTTCTGTCCCTTCATTATAAAAGGTATTGTTGTTTAGCTACTAAAAAATTCATCAATTTCTCTTTGTGTTTGTGGTATTTGTCTTTTACTGGCTGACAAAAACAATTTTTTATTTATTTCCAGCTGAAAGCACTTTTATTAAAATAAAATTGACACTGAATAATGATAATTATCTAAGCTTAGGTAATTATTCTTAATGCTTAATGATAATTTAATCAAAAGGCATTCTACTTAATTTTCTTTCAACCAAAACAGAATGAATTTGAGAATAGGATTGAATGAAACAACAGCGTCATCTTGGAAAATAAATATGGAATTTTCCCAATATTAGTATTGTTAGCTGTGCAGTCCATATTCTTATTTTTTTTTTCACTTTTATGATCAATCACATTAAACAAAATTAATTCATCAAGTTTTGATAAAAAGCATTTAATATATTAACAGAATAAAATGTATTAAAAAATCTGATAGGTACAAAAGGATTTTTAATAATCTAGCTAAAGACCCTCAAATGATGTTAAGTTGTGAATTCCAAAATTGAAAAACAGTTTTAATTAAGTATTTCCCAAACTAAAGAATGATTCAATCACTTTTAAAATAACTGAAATATTGCTAGAGAATGGTCTCGAAGACCATCTATAAGCAAGTCTTCAGATGAAATGCATAGGTCAAATCACATTTAATAATAAAAGGAACATACTAGGTATTACTTATAATTCTAGATAGGAAATTTTGATTTAAGGTTTGGTTATGTATCAAACAGCAGCAAAATTTATAACAAAGCTCCTGATATATGAGTAACATGATTTCTGTCTCGATGTTACATTACTTACAATAAAGACTATTTGCAAAATATAACCAACAAATTAATCTTCATTGACCAAAAAACTCAAAAGTGTTTAGTCATCACTATTGAAATTGTCAGGATCACCATGATCACAGAAGGCACAGTAAATTTAGAGTAATGTAAAAAATCATACTGAAAGTTTATTTCAACTCAAATATGACTCCACGTAATTACAGGTCATGTCAAAACTAATGATACCACTGAAAGATTCCAGCCCATAAATAATTCAAAATGCAATGAAGCACTTAATAAAATTATTTTAAAAAGAGGCTTTGGTAATACAATCAAAAGTCTTTAATCCGGACTCGTCGGGACTTCGTCGATTCTGGATTATCGGTTTTTCCAGATTATAGATCATCAGTTTAAATCTGGTAAGATGGCATGCAGAAATTATAAAATTAAAAATATGAAACCGTAATTTATGAAATAAAGAGCAATTATGATCTAAAGGGTATCAAAATTTACAAAAAAAAAAAAAAAACACTTTATATTTATTTGTTTACTTTATTAAACATTTCTTTCAACGCGCGCATGCGTAAAGCTTACATCACGCATAGTCTAAATTAGAAAATTGCAACCAGAAAACTATTTGATGTGTATTTGTGATATTTATAATGATGAGGAAATTTGATTTAAATCATATCAAAGATGGAGTACATCAAGATGAAGTACTACATTTAGTAAGGAATTATAAGCCGAATAAAATAAAACATCTGTCCTGAAGATAAGGATAGTGCTGACAGATCAACTTACAGTTCATTGCACCCCCCCCCGCACAGAACAAGGTGAAATTGATAAACATATTTCGGAATGATTAGAGAA